ACCACGGTGTAGTTTTGGAGGTTATAATTGTCAACAATCACTTGGTATACCTAACTAGCACCGTATTCGGAGCTGATCTTTCAGTGCAGAATCGCGTACTCAAGCAACGCAATACAGCCATTTTGCTCTAACTTTAGAGTCATAGTTACTGTGAAAATTGGGGGAGGGGTCATTAGGTTGATTAGGCTTTTCTGGCCCTCTGTTTTTTGATATGCTAGTCGCATACCTCCAAAGCTGTTCCGTTTCCGAACACTATTTTTACTGTGAAAAAAAATACCGGGAAAGAAATAGAATAGTATGTTAAGGAGAATCAGGTGAATTCGACCTCGGCTAAAATACCACGTCCCATGGTGTTGAATTCGATCACCTTAATCACAACTATGTCTATAGTAGAAGGTTGTGTTTAAACAGTGCACACTTGGAATTACCCGGCAAATGGAGTAAAACTACACATATTTTGGCTTGGTAAGGAGCATATTTGTTGTTAAGACTAATTTATCGAGCCGCATGTAGCAATCGTGATGTAGTGTCTTTCGCTTGTGTGTGTGTGTGTGTGTGTGTGTGTGTGTGTGTGTGTGTGTGTGTGTGTGTGTGTGTGTGTGTGTGTGTGTGTGTGTGTGTGTGTGTGTGTGTGTGTGTGTGTGTGTGTGTGTGTGTGTGTGTGTGTGTGTGTGTGTGTGTGTGTGTGTGTGTGTGTGTGTGTGTGTGTGTGTGTGTGTGTGTGTGTGTGTGTGTGTGTGTGTGTGTGTGTGTGTGTGTGTGTGTGTGTGTGTGTGTGTGTGTGTGTGTGTGTGTGTGTGTGTGTGTGTGTGTGTGTGTGTGTGTGTGTGTGTGTGTGTGTGTGTGTGTGTGTGTGTGTGTGTGTGTGTGTGTGTGTGTGTGTGTGTGTGTGTGTGTGTGTGTGTGTGTGTGTGTGTGTGTGTGTGTGTGTGTGTGTGTGTGTGCAAAGCAGAATTTTTGTGATGATCAGCTTATGCGCTATCAGTTGACAGTTTTCAATGTTTGTGATCGATAATATGCTATCAGCTAACATGGAAAAGCTTAAAGAATGATTACTCACACTGCATTTGTAAGGATCAGCATCACCAAGTATGTTTCAAAGCGGATTTCTGCATATGAGAAACCTACAAAGCAGAGTCACAATTCATAGTCATTTAAAATCAACAGTGTAAGTCTGGAGGATCGCTATATGTTATGTTTCTTTCTACCTCACCTTATGGTTTGATAGAAATTGCTCGCAAGGTGGATGACAAACTTGAAAATTTGGAAAGTGTGAATGCATACGATGCAGCAGAGTTACAGGAAACATTAGGCTGGCTAGTGAACAAAAAAAGGAATTCTGTTATTCAGCTATAATTTTTGTGAATGTGTAGCTTCAAACCTCTACCATTACATACGTATTACATAGAATTTCCTTTCGTGTCAAAAGATAGTTATGACTTCATACAGCCAAATAAAAAAAAACTATTTTAAATTTCCATTCCGTTGTTGAGCTGTAGTAAGTATAAGACGAGTGAATTGCTTGTTGGTTACACATAGATTTTATTTGGCGAGCCGCATCAAGTTTGTGACCTGCTGTTTGGGAATTTTCATGGCCGTAATTATCAAAATTTTTAGGCATTTGAGTTTGAATTTGTTCATCCATATAAATGGTTGAAGATATTGAAATCGTATGTGTGTGTTCGACTCCTGCACTTTAGGCTTCCGCCAGAGTGCCGAAGCCACTCCAGCGCTACGCCAGCGCCGAGCTAGAGTTTCGATCGATACACGTGTATTTCGTTGGGGCGGGATCCTGTCTGAGATAGCCCCGCCCCAACGAAGTACACGTGTATCGATCGAAACGCTGGCTCGGCGCTGGCGCAGCGCTGGCATGACTTCGGCACTCTGGCGGGAGCCTTACACCCAATTTCAGTTTGTTTTTGGAGCATTTCTATAAACTTTGACTGACAAAAAAGTCTGTTTTTTTGCGCTATTTCGTCATCGAAAAAAAAGTTGCGACTTTGTAAAGTAAACCATCCAATTCTTCTTGATTTACGCCACTTAGTGGTATTATACATTTGCATACAAATTTATCTGTAACATTTCTACAAAGCGTTAAGAACGAAAATTATTAGGTTGTAAAGAAAGTTCAAGGGCATTGCGAATTGTTTTTTCAAACTGCTGTAACTTCAAGCACACCGCTCCTTTTTTGGAGCTGCAAATTTTGCTGCAAAGGCAATGTTGTCTACAAGCTGCATTTATTTTGTTAGGTCCTGAGCACTTCACTTCGGGCCACCAGCATGCGTATTAGAGATAAAGCTCGACTTAAAATCAAGCTCGACTTAAAATTCGGCCTTCAATGCAGGAATTTCTCAGACACGAAGAGAGCCGAAGAGCTCATATCCGGTAGTTGTGTAGAACTTTGCTGGTGCTGTTCATAGACTACGCCACGAAATCGAAGCACAGCCTGTAAAAAAATTCTGCACCTCAAAATGCCTCATTTTTGAGTAAACGAGTTCGAAGTCTTCCTTCTTTCCACAGAATGAGTTAAGTCTTTGATCGCTGCAACTGTTGTTGAGTTAATGTCTTGCACATCTTCTGGGCCCATCACCGAGGCGTGACGATTCTCACAAAATCGACGCCAACTGCGAAAACAGGTACGCTTGAAGGCAAGTTTGAGAGCTTGTAGATCTTGTGCACGTGTTGTAAGATCCAAGCACAGCTGCAGTATTGAAGTGGACAACCTCTTTATTTAGAATGAACAACTCTTAGATGGCTTTCTCTGTTCACTGCAAAAAAATGGCAGCAAAAAGAAAAATCGCAAAATTTTCATGACAGGCTTCCTTTTTTAGTGTATACGTCACTACGGTTTGACAACTATGAAAATTGAATGCGAATCTGGAAAGCATAGGGTTTCTTCTACAGAACCTTGTGAAGCATTTGTCGTTAAGTCCCAAACGAGTGCGAAAAAACGAGTCTAAAATGAAATTTTCAAAACTACCCGAGAACTTTTCTTACAACCTAACATTAGCCAACCTAATAAATGAACAGTGCCTACAAAATTGAGCTACTACGATGCGTTCGCAAATTAAGAAAAATTTGTACCATAAAAACGCATGTAAAATTTCTATTTCATTTATGGATTCCTTAACTGTAAGACAAACTTATGGAGGAGGTTCGATGGTTTGGCACTTTGACCTTCAATGAGTAATATGCAATAAACAATAATCTAAGAGAGGCAAAAAAGATGACACCAAGTACTGTAAGAGGGATCACATCTCTAAGCCGAACAAGTTCTCAATCCTCTTTCCCATGAAAGTTTGATACTAATTACCTGGCTAATCCAGATTATTACCCTCAAAACTTCCTTCAGGGAATCGCCCTGCAGATAAAGAAATCGTTTCTGTTATCAATGCCTGAAAGCTCTCGTTTATATCGTCTTACAAAAGCATTATTCTGCAGACAAAGAAAGGTGTCTGGGATTGATAAGTAAAGACTTCCGGTAATATCTTTCTATAAAAGAAGGTCTCAAAGACAGAGAAAGCAGATCCCAAATTTGCGTTTAGAGTGCTCGGTGCTCTTCTCTCTTCTCAGGACTTCGCCGTTCATGCAGTCCATTAGTCGGTACAACAGTAATCTTTATCTTTTATGTGATATCGAATCTGACAATTTCTCCATGGAGCGACTTCCACACTTCATCATGCTCGAACAATCAGATGCCCACAAATGCATCTCTAGGACAAAATTTCCAGTACTTTGCAAGATTCCCGATGATACTCAGCGGCCCACTGGCTTATCTTCGGCGTCATTTGCGAAGTTGTGCTTATGATTTAACACAAAAGTTCTAAGCATGTTTAGAGGCAAATTAGGTGTGCAAGTAATAAGATTTTCAATGAATCACCTGTGGGGACCTGAATTAACATTAGAAAACGCTTATGCTTTTGTTCAGTGCATTGATAGTAGAGGACAGTAGACACACCCAACAATACGATGGACGTATAATCAGCTTGCTGGATCACGAGGGTTTGAAGCTTTCTTTGAGCTGTACTTACCCTCCCCGTCAAGGATGTTAATGTATGAGGCCTCAAGCCTGCTAGCCAACTTTGTGAGCCTATTTGAAACCATTTGCAGAGATTCAGCATTGTGATTTTATAGAGTCATTTTTATACTTTATGAGGCTTTTTAAGGAATCAACTCTTTAAAGAAAGCAAAATTTTTTATGACCATTCAGTAATCAATGCCATCCCCTTATCACACAATACTTCAACGAGGGATACATACTAGGCAAGATTGAGTAGAGCAATAGGTAATCAAAAACCTGACTAGTCCTCCCGCTTCTGTATGAGCTCCTTTTAGTTCCAGATGAAAACATTGAGTAGTCAAGAGCTAATACATGTAGAAATTCTCTTACTTATTCTTGAACTGCTTGAATCGCAAAGCTTCACTTGGACGGTTAAACGTTTGAGTAATTTAGAGGGGTCAAAGCCAATTGTTTTGATGATATATATGGCTGAGAAAAAGAGAAGGGAAGGGAATAAGAAACTTAGTTTTGATCACTCACAGTGCCTTTCGGGACTGTTCTGGTCTTATACTATATCTTTGTGAACAATTCACAGGCATACCATTTGCAGACCGTCTTTTGAGATTACTGCTTGGACATGAGATCGATGAGTTACCACAGCGGAAACGTTCGTTGAAGAATCCTAATTGCTCAAAACAATAGGAATGGTCACGCTTTGCAGTAACATATGACGTTTTATCAGAATGTGGATTATTACTTACTTAGATATCTACCTGTAAATATCCCTGTTTTTCTTCAGAAAATTGGATGAATTTTGCATGAAGTATTGCTTTATGCACCTGTTTCGTAAAATTATGTAGAACAGCAGTACGAAACACAACAACAGCAACGCAATCAACTATGCAAAAGGAAATTCTTTGGAATCATTTATTTATATAAAAGGCACAACACATGAAAAATGCTTTGCAGATAAAGCAGTAATTACTCATTTTTTTGCTTCATAAATAACAATATGTTTCAGGATAAAGCAAACGTTGGTAATTCATTAAGTGTTCAACGGAGATGCTCCAAATATTTGTCTTTGCTACCATGTGCTTTTTAGCCCACGGTCAAACTTTCACGGCATGCCAGAACGCTACTCAAATGGTAAATTCCTTAAGCAAATCCTATCCCAAAAAACGTGCGAGACATTTGAGCTCTTCTCGCGTTATTAGAGGGTTGGGTGCTACAAAGGCACCTTAAGCAGCAAAAATAAACTGTGGAAAATGAACCACATATCCACTAGTCGATAAATTCAACTTTAGGGCATATCAACCAATATTAGGTTGAGTGCTTTCGGAAAGTCCCGATGCAGTGATCGAGAGCGGCTTTTCAGCTGCCTCAATTTTTGTCGCAAATCAAGCACGTGTAAATGTTGTTTCGCAAAATTAGAACTTTTCTGCGATTTTGACGCTCACATTCACTACATACATATCCACCGGTGCGCGGTAATGTACTGCCACGCGCACTATCACCTATCGTATGTTTCTTGGATGCTTTCAACTTGAGTTGTAATAGAAGAGGGTTTTTGCACTTGTTTGGGGGCATCTAAGTTCCCCAGCTCAAAAGATTAGTGTTTTGGACGTACTACCCATCCGTGGGTCGCGACAAAAAATGCGAATTAGACTCTGATTTTAAATGGCAGAAATCGAAGAAAGGCCTAATAGTAAAAGTACTACGCTTCGCACCTTGCTGCTTGTCATCCAACTCGTAATCTCGTTCATTCTAAATTCTAAAAAGTCTATCAAACAAGAATTATGCGGAATCAAATACCTTATCAATTATTGGATCCTTACAGTAGTAATGAGTTTATACGTCAAATTCAGTACACAGAGAAGGCGTTCGCTTGCGAGGACAAACTGGATAAAGAGAGCTGCAAAATAATTTACCCTGACAAGAACAATGGGCAAGAGCCAGCTGTTGGCAATAATATTGCTAGACCTGATGCTTGTTGGTCGGTAAGTTCAAACTTTCAAAATAGCCTCTTTTCGCGTGAATTGACAAGTGAGAAGCTCCATCGATACAAACATCTAAGAAAACATATAAGATATTAAAGTGTGAACTCCTACCACGGAAACAGAAAAAGAAAAACTCTTGAAATGATTGTGCAAAGCCTGAATCATTTTATTGCACTTTGATTTGCGTATGTACTACAGCAGTACCTAAGTCCTTCTTAATGTGTGCGAAAAAATTTGGATATGCACCAAAACTTTTTGCTGTTTTTTTCCTACGTTTGAAATGTAAAAAAAGGAGCTGAAGTGGACTTTCGTGTTTACTTAGCTTTGCCTCAAATCGGTTGTATATTTGTTATGAATAATCTGAATGTTAACTAACCGATTGGTTCAGAAACGGACATTATTTTCAGAATGATAAAGGCAACTCAAAAAATAATAAAGCTGTCAAGACTGCTGTGAGTTTGTGTCCAAAGAGATGTGCATTGTGCTGCAAATCAGCCGCGTTTGACTGTGAAGATAACAACAGTGAGTAACAGCACAATAATTTTTTTTTTGAAAACTAGCCCAGTCCCTTTTGAAAAATAATGTATGTGCAAGCTTTGAGCCAACCTATTCCGCGACCGCAAATTGTTAATTAAAAGTTTGCGTACGTTGACGCATTAGCAGTTACAACTTTCTGCTTACAGCATGCTTTTCTTGGAGAATTGCAAAGGTCATTCAATTTGGTCACATTCTTGTTTCCACGGAAATTACTGCCCGCAAAAAGAGTCATTTGGATAGAAACCTAGTCTTTAATTACGTTATTGTTTAAACATTCTATAGATATCAGTGTCGTAACTGAACCTTGCGCACACCCTCATAATCTCTAACATAAGAACGTCACTCAGATTTACGCTTGTTTATGCAATAAGCGATTCTAAATGTAAAATGTTTGAATACACGTAGCATGATATAGTACGACTTAATATACACATCGTACAGGATTTGACTGCTCCAATGCGAAACAGTATTGCAAAAACTCAGTGATGAAAGCTGAGCTGGATCTGGCAAACAACTGTCCGAAAACGTGTGGATTGTGCGAGGAGAAAAATGCAGGTAATTTCTTGATTTCTCGTTCAAAAAAGGGTTGAAATAATTGTGGACTTCTGTAATCTGATGTCTTGCACTTCATACAATGAAACTATAGACGTGATGTGGTGATCAACATTTGAGGCTGCCTCTGACTCTACATGATTTCGAAATTGTAAGCAAATTGCTATAGCCGCATTATCAAACCGGGTAGAAGTCGAAAAGACATTTTTACTCACCTTTACTCTCTGTGAAAAGAAAAAAACGTAAGAAAAGTTACTTATCTTCCAGCTGAGCATGAGCAAAATCATTTACAAGTACCAATGAGTATTTTGAATCGTCTGTAATAAAAATTCAAATAAATTCTCCGACTGATAGTAAGCAATTCTGACGATGACTCACTATTTCAATGTAACCTGTCATCGACGAAAATCCCGATTCCTAAGAAAGCGAAAACGGCATCAAGCAGGCTGCAACTTTTGCACCAGCTGCAAGAATTGTCAGCAATAATTCAGAAGAGAATTGTGTAGGATTTTCGTCCTTTGGAGATTACTTCACGTAATATTTTAGGATGTACGGATTCAGTGGCAGGCTGTGACAAATCCCTGTGCTATCACCCGAATTTTGCGGATGCAATGAAGGTGGGAATAGCTTACAAACGAGAATGTTGCGTTTTTTCCTGCAGATAATGCTCACGTTTTGCTGCGAAAGGTAAATTTCAAAATGAAAAATTCCTGCACAAGGTTCTGCTCATATGTTGATCCCGCCATAATCATAGGTCTTAAGGTAATGTGTGCTAAATTGGGTTCACAGTATCTGAATTTGTCGGTAATCCCCCTTTCACCATAAAATGAGATTACATTTCTAGCTACTTGAACTCCACACGCTGAGAGTGAAATATACTTATCGGTAGAGTTCTTTTGAAGCAATTTTCTCGCTTTGAAATTCGTCTTAGGCAGCGGAACTTGGGCAGTCTTTGTCAAGGGCTTTACTGTTATAATCAAATCTCACAGCATCTGTTTGGGTGCCAAAGATTCACTTTCGCAACAAACTGTTACTAGAAACTGTGACGTAATATCATCTACGAATTTCGAAGTCACTGGATTGTGGTAAACCTAGATAGCACTTTTTACCTAGAAAATACGTCAAGGTTTCTTGTTTGCTAAACCAATAGGTATTCATAAAAAGTGTTCATTTCTATTACAAAATTTTTACAAACTTTGGTGCCGTTGAAATAAAAAATCTGCTTGTCGCGTTGTTTGGATGAGTAAGCCAAAGACTTTTGAGTTTTTTAAAATTAAAAAAACGACTATAGCCGTTCTAAGCCCTTTTTGATGTCAGAAATTCGAACAAACCAGTACTTATTTTCAGAAACAGTGCAAGAGAACATGCGGTTTTTGTGATGAAACAGCAACCACTACTCAAAATGGAATTGGTGGGTATCAAACATACACTTTTCAAAGTCGAAACAGCTCTACTCTTAAGCTCCTTTGATTGAAGCACAGGTAATGCGTGGTTGAAAGGCATAACACGGAAATATACCGGCTAATGTTAATCTGGCCATTGCAAGGAAACGTTGGTTCAATAGTCCGAAAATGGCCTTCATTAGAGGTGTGAATTGCTAGAGACCGGGTTTGTAGTACTAAACCGCTTGATAGATTACACCTTAATGATAACGCGGCGTCCGATGTTGTCGAAGGCTTTGGCTTCGTAGCCATACTCAGACAATCGTCGGGGGCAGGCGGGCACCGGAAAAATAGATTGCTGATCTCTCGCATCCCGCTCGCGGATGTTTTGGAAAGCAATCAGGACTTTTCGGAAGACCGCTTGCTGAGTTCTCGATTTCTCAGAGATTAAGCAATATACCTGCAAAAGATAAGAGCGAAAAAATTCAACAGGCGGTCTTTCAAATATCCGCTGACTCAGCAAGCGGTCTTCCGAAAAGTCCTGATTGCTTTGCAAAAAATCCGCGAGCGGGGTGCGAGAAATCACCAATCTATTTTTCCGGTGCCCGCCTGCCCCCAGCGATTGTCTGAGTAGTTCTAGAAGAGGAAAACGTGCACTTGCGGCTACTGTTCAAAAGCATTTGCATGAAAGCACGCAGCTATTTTTGCGATTCAGCTTAATGCGGTTTAGCTTTGAATAATCCTAGTAAGAGTGGTCTTTGCAGCACTCCGTTGGAAAATTGAACAGTATTCTTAAATACTATCGATCGCTTTTCTGATGTGATCTCAAGGATGTTCTTGAGGTTCTTCACTGGTCAGGAATCCTTTCGGTTTAAACAAAATAATAATAACTAAAATAATTAATAAAATGTTTGCTTGAGCAACTCATTTTGTATAGCATGCTAAGATCAAAATTCGCCAAAAGTGGGAAGTCCTGGCATTTTTCTACTTTGTTCATAAGTTTCCAGCACGAGGATTTAGCGATAGTCTTTTTCAGATTTCCTCGCTCCACTTTTTGAAACTTAGTCTTCCTTGAACTTATCGGATATCATTTATTTACCTGCCTTTTGAAAACTGGCGTTCACTACCATGCTCTAGATTATTCGAATTCTGCCTCAAGGTTCTTCTCTTTTGCACAGCTCTTCAATAATGTTTAGGACGAGAACCAGAATCACTAGGAAATTTGAAATACAGTTAGAAAACCTTAACACCTCCATAAACACCTGCATTTTGTCGGTTCGTGTTTGATGTGCTTTCTAATCTGCGCTCTTCACATAAATTTCTTCTCCGTTCTCAGCTAAAGTGTGATTTTATAAGGAGACAGTGAGCCAAACACAGCATGAGAGTAGAACTAACGCATTATTCAGACAATACCTTCGGTTGATGACAGTGTGTTCGACGTCCGCATGAGTCATCCCCTAGGACGGTTTACACCGGTGTTTTACTCTTTGCATTAAGATGGACTTTCTATAGAAAAGGCGTGCGGTAGAGAGCAACCAAACGGCATGCCATTCGCAACCCCCCCCCCTCCCCAAAGTTTCTGGTCTTATTGTATCCCACTGATCGATTTTGCACCGGAATCGCTCAGAACAAATTTGTAAAAAAAGTTTTTCATTAATTGCCTATGGCGGGTATAGCAGGTGATTGTGGAGATGTATAGCGAAAAACAGGATGAACGCTAGTCATGTGGATTATGTGGACGACTTATATGACATCCTAAGGCATTGGGCATATTTCACTCGATTTCATCGCCTCGCAATTTTCGCGACAAGACAACTATTACAAGTCCATTGCAAGCCAGTCAACTTGCATTTCGGTTATGATAGTTAGTCATGATTACTCGTGCAGGAAAACTATCATAACCGAAATGCTTGAGGATCGGCATACAATAAACTCGTAGCAGTTGTCATGAAGAACCGCGAGGCGATAAAATCGCTCTTGAACTTTGGCCGAGGCCTGATGCTTCGTGATAGGAATTTCTCACTACGAATGAAGAGGTCCAACACTTTGCTGCCTAAAGTCCTTTACGCATCACCAGCATCTAAACCAACGGAATTCTGTATACTCGTGTATACTCGTACTACTACATCACCACGTTCGTTCAAATATGCCTTCAGTTTTCAGAGAAATTACCAAAAATCAAGAAAACACACAGTCCAGAAAAAATACCAACGAAAGTGAGAAAAAACCAGTTTTCTGTTATTCGAATGTCCACAATGAAAGTCATGGCTGTATGTGCAATTTTCTAGTTCCTACTTCCGCTTCAAAGGAGGTCACCACAACTATACCTTGTGGAGCAGACAAGAGGCAAGTCAAAAAAACATCAAGTTTGTACTCATAAATTCAATTCAGATGTCCGAAGTGGAAGAATAATGGGTTCTGTGAGAATAAACTCTATACTGATGAGTACAAGAGGAAATTCTGTGGCCGACTTTGCAATATGTGTTGAGCCCAGACTCAAGCAAACTCAGTTCACTTATTCATAAATTGGTTTGTAAAAGTGTTTGAGTCTAATGAATCCATTGCAAGATTCGTTTTACAAGCAAAAGCAGTTCTCTTCACCAAACAAGACACATCACAGGCAGCAAACTACTGCAACACTTTTGGCCGTCCTGAGAGATGGTCTGTCTATGAAAAAGTTGATGTTGTGAAGAGCAAAATACCAATATCTACGGAAAATTCTGATTGCAAATTCTAAATTTCTCATAATGCTTAGATATAAAGATGGTGGCTTTAGAGTCTATGAAAACATTGTACTTTAGATTGAATGATCCAGTGATTTGACCTATAAGAAGCATATAAACCTATTTTCAAACTAACGTTCTGTACCACGATAATGAGTGGAATTCGAAAATCTTTGCTGGTAATATATTAATGCAACGATTTTCTTAGGCAATTGTGTACAATCGGATCGCTATTTTGATCACATCGTAATCTTTACTGGTGAACATCAGCTGTGATAAATCATAGGTGCGATAGGAGGAGCAGGGTCCCCTCCACTCATTAATAGCCGAGGGCAGGCGGTCCGCAAACTCGCACTTTTTTGCAAGCGGTCAGCAGGATTTTGGGGCGTGGCCTAACCTTCAGCGGGCGGTACTCCCTTTACTGTCGCATATTCTGCCAGCGGGCAGCAATACGGCATTTTTGGCAAGCGCTCGGCAAATAATTTCTTTCAGCGAGCGCTGGCCAAACTTTCAGCAAGCGCTCGGAGTCTTTTTATGCATTTTCGGGCGTACGTCGAGCATAGGTAAGACTCTGTGTGGCAGAGGTGTCACCGTTGGTTTAATTACTCAAGTTTGAGGTACTTTCTCTCAGCGGGAAGTACCTGGGGGCTGCGCGGTCCTCCACAAAAGACCGTGCGGCCCTCGGAAATTTTGCATATTCTCGTGAAAGTCCGCGAGAATGCGGCCACTATGCCACAGCTAATCTATAAGGAAACCGCGATTGTTCTCCAAGCATTCGTCTAAAATTTCGCTAGAATTATTCCAAGTTTCTGCAAGCGGACCGCAAGAAATCAGCGAACTATTTTTCCGGTGCGCGCTTGCTCAAAATTCACATGGCCGCCTGCCCCCGGCGATTATCTGAGCAGGTGAAGGGGGTTCTGTCTATTTCTTATCTAGAAAAGTGAAAGGGGTACCTGGGTCTGAGATGAATGCTGAGCAAGCTTACAGCTTACGTTTTTCTTCTCCATTCCTCTCTTGCTTCTGTTCTACCACTCTTTTTCAAACTTTTCTATTCATACCTTTTGCTTAACGACCAATTTGGTCGAACTGTCTTGACAGTTTCACTCTACACTGACTTTTACATACTCTCCAACTCAACAAATTCTTAGTTTATTTCTAATGACTTGTTAACCAATATGCATAAACAAACAAGAAATAAACAATGAATCTCATACGCTTAAAATATAAACAATATTACATAAAATTTTCGTAATTTCAAAAGTTACATAAGCAAATAGACAGCAAATAAACAACTGCAGTTACAACATGTTAATCTTACGCATACACTTCAAATACCAATGTATTTTTCTTTTTCTTTTTATTATATTTACTTTTCTAATCATAAAAAATAACATTAGTTTATACTAATATAAACTCTGTTACTAATTTACAATATTAATAACATTAAACATAAACTAATAATATCAATATAATCTAATAGTATAATTATATTTATACAAAAAATGTTATATCTAGATTAATGCTATTTTCCTAAATATCATAATCACAAATTTATTCATCAAAATTTACCCATTATAAATTAATTACAAATAACCAAAGTTAAAATAGGTAAGTTTATTTTTGTTATAACTTAAGATATTGTTTTATTGCAAATACCTTACAAATTCTTTGATAAGAGGGCCATACCTCTTGTTCTAAAAAATTGGGGGACACCATGATGGGTGAAACCAGTGGGGATGTGGGGACCTGGGATACCCCCCTGCGACTCCATGGGTCCCGTTTACTCATTTGTAAACCAAAGTTTCCAAAACTCACTAAACAAAAACAGGGTCGGTCATGAACTTTGGCAGCAGCCCTGCCAAATCATTATCTCCCACACTTCCTAGGGTAAAGACCTGCCGACTAGGAAGTTATTTAAATGGTCTCGAAAAACTACGTCTTGCAATGCTAATAATTATTATGAACAATCACATTTTTATAAAAGTAAGGTTAACAAAATGTATACGCTGGACAATTTTGGTAACAATGACATCACAATTGCATGTTGTTCTAAATGTATCATTTGTAAACAAATGCATCACAATCCATATATCATAAGTAATTCAACAAAATTAAAAATATACACATTCTGCACAAATAACAGCAATTGCAAAAATAACAATGTCATCTATTGCATCACATGTAATGAATGCAGTAAATAATACGTAGGTTCAACAACTAGAAATTTGAAAAGCAGAATAAGAGAACACTTTTATCATTTAAAAAAGAATGATATAAACAACTTTCTATATAATCACTTCAAAACATGCACAAATAGAAGTATAACAGTTCAAATACTAGACAGTTTGAAAAACAATAAAGACAAGAATGTTTTGATAAATAAAGAACTATTCTGGATCAAATTACTCAACACAGCATATCCATTTGGATTAAATGACAATATTAGAGAATATGGAAATATTAGGTCGGTGCAAAAGTTTTGTCGGTTTTTTTAATCCATCGGCAAGCACGCTAGAATGAAGATAAACAAGCGCTTCAAAATGTATCCGATGTAGAATTTTTTCCTCTTTCCAGCTGCTTTCCAGCTAAACTCCCATTGTGTTTCTTTGCGAAAGTGACGAGATATTTGCTGCAAATTACAACCACTCGTTTTTACCATGTCCAACTTTCGCTAATTTTCAAAATTTTTGCATGAGACTTTCGAAGGAGCCCTGATAGCCAGCAGGTAAGGCTAACCTTTTGCCAACAGAAGCAATTTTTTGTAGCCCTACAGCTTGTCTTTCAGAATTTCTACAATTTATTTTTTGAAGTGACCAAATTATACATTCAGCCTATTTGATCTCGTAGAACATAAAATGTTGAACACTTCAGTCACCATTCGATGCAGATTTTTTTCCTCTTTTTAATACTTGTCTTTTTTCGCCGAAACAGGAGAAATTTGTGGGGAAAACCGCAGTATTTCTCAGTTTCAGGAGTGCGCATAGGCGTAACCTATGTTTCAAAATCTTCAAAATTTAAAGCGAAAATCGCTCATTTAATTTGTAATGGTAGTGGTAATAATAATCGTGTGTTGAAACCACAGTATTCTGTAGGTTTTGCAGTGTTTGATGCAATAACAGGCTATGCGATTTTCCAAAACACAAGACTTTTAGAAAATTATTCAGCAAAAATCTGAAAAAGCAGCTGACAAAAAGAAAAAACTGCATAAGTTGGCAAAAGGTTAGCCCTATCTGCTAGCTATCAGGGCTCCTTCGAAAGTCTCATACAATATTTTTAAAAATTAGCGAAAGTTGGACATGGTAAAAACGAGTGGTTGTAATTTGCAGCAAATATCTCGTCACTTTCGCAAAGAAACACAATGGGAGTTTAGCTGGAAAGCAGCTGGAAAGAGGAAAAAATTCTACATCGGATACATTTTGAAGCGCTTGTTTATCTTCATTCTAGCGTGCTTGCCGATGGATTAAAAAAAACCGACAAAACTTTTGCACCGACCTAATATATCCAATATTGATAATCCTCTTTTAGAAAAAAAACACATCCTTACTATAATTTAAAATTAACTAAAGACAGAATACGTAGCCAATACAGGCATAAAAATAAAAATAAAGAAACATTAGATTCTTTCTTGAATACTATTAATAGTAAGAGCACACTACAAGATTTATTTCAATATATCCATTCATTGGAAAAAAAGTTTCATAAAACAAGTAATTGCAGCATGTTTTGATCCCACATTTCTAATAAAAATTGAACAAAGTATAAAAATAACTACTCTTAGTATACTTTGCAAATTCATGTTTAGTTGCAACGAAAAAGAAAAACAAAACATTAATTATAACAATATCAACGTTGAATATTAGGTTGAACCGAAAGTTCTGTCGCACCATATTCAAAAAATCATAACTTCTTTCCCTCACGGTGATTTTGCGCAATTCAAATTTTGTCTGAAAGCGTAAAGCATGTAGTTTCCAAAGTTTCCCTGAGAAGATCTCAGCATGCACAGGTTGCAGAGATAAAAATGAAAGAACGAGATCATCCGAAATTCGGAATTTTTAAGCAAGAATTCTAGAAATTCAGAAACTGTGCGATAAAATCCAGAAAAGCCATTATCCTAATTTTTCTTATATTTGATTACTATCTGAGTTAAGTTTGTGCTGATCGAGGTCTTCTTTCAGAAGTTATGAATTTTTGAAAAAAAATGCCAAAAAATCCATTTCTTAGGAATTTCTAGGAAATTGATTTTTTGGCATTTTTTTCAAAAAATCATAACTTCTGAAAGAAGACCTCGATCAGTACAAACTCGACTCAGATAGTAATCAAATGTAGGAAAAATTAGGATTATGGCTTTTCTGGATTTTATCGCACTGTTTCTGAATTTCTAAAATTCTTGCTTAAAAATTCCGAATTTCGGATGATCTCGTTCTTTCATTTTTATCTCTGCCACCTGAAAATGTCGAAAACTCTCCAGGGGCCTTTGGAAACTACATGCTTTACGCTTTCAGATAAAATTTGAATTGCGCAAAATCGTCGTGACCGAAAGAAGTTATGATCTTTTGAATATGGTGCGACAGAACTTTCGGTTCAACCTAATATATCCATAGTATACCAGACGAAATCAACCTTAATAAAATTATTAATAATAATTACATAAAAAACATTCTCAAAAATAGCAAAATAAATTACAATCCATGCAGATTTGTATATAAATACAAAAATCCAATTTCTATGCAATTTTTTAATTACAATTCCATTCTTGCTAAAATTGATACAAACGAAATAAATCAAATTCTTACTCAAAAATGTAAATGTAAAGAATTACAGATGGCACAATATATTGATAAC